CCATTCGAAGCGGTGCTGTACACTCAAAGCATCCAAGAATTCCGACCAACGATTGGCAAGTGATATTGTAGGCATACTTGAATGATGACTTCCTCGTTTGATCGCCGACTGTATCACTGCATGCATGCCTTCCACTGTGATCTCGACAATGGGTACGAGCCCCAGCCGCACAACATGGAAATGCAACAGCGGTAAGGAAATCAGGGATTCTCCAGCAATGAAACGACACATCAAAGGCCTCAACCGCCCTGCTGCATCCAGAAACGATTTCACAATGAAATGACTTTGCTCCTGTTGTTCTGGCCGAAGATCCGAATACTGACTCAATGCCATGATCGCACAGTGGCGGGCCTTCTCCACATCTGAGTGCATGACGCCGACCAGAACTCGGGGAAGCATAGACCAAGCTGAGAACTGCACCTTCAAGTGGAAGGACAAGTGCTGCCTCGCACATTGGAAATCTTCGGCTACTCTAGCTCGCCCTCGCTCACTGCAGGCAGGAATCACTACCGATACAAGCTCTTGCGAACTCACCAAACACAATGTCTCCACCATATTCAAAAAATCACCGCTAGCAAGCTCTGGACCCCGACGCTGACGAAATGGGCACACGACCTTGCTACGGTCGCGATCGTCTTGCCGATTCAGTGGCACTCCAACACGCACTGCATGCATCAGATTCTGCAATGTGGGCTCCTCGAAATGACACTCGCAACCGAAGAACCATCTCTCGAGGTAACTCATAATGCCGGTAAGAATCGACAACATCCGGAGCCAAGCCCAAAAGTCCGTGCTTCTGATCGCTTCATGCACAAGATCCCAAGACATGTTGTGATACTCATCCTCCTCGGCATGCTGGTGCTCCGCCGCCACTCTGACGCCCATGCGCCCAGGATCCCAACCTGCAACCAACACATGCTCAAGCTGCAAAAGGTGAGGGACTACAGCCGTGATTGTCAGCCACCGCCACTGCACAAGCTTGTAAGGGAATGAGTCCAGCAACGCTCCCATCGGTTCCAGATTCCCGACCAAGCACTTCTCACAGAATCGCTCTCTATAGTACGGGGCATGCAGAAAACGAGTCAGGGCTTGCAACTTTGGCCAGAAGTACGTGTCATAGTTTCGCATACTGGACAAGAAACCCAAGCTGATATTGTGCAAGGAATGCATTGCTCCACCAACATCCAATGAATGCGACAAATGCAAACTCACGCCCTCATCGATTCTCGCACGATCATGCAGCATGTTGTCTCGAACGCCAACTGCTGGAACAACCGGAGGTGCAAGTCCTACATGGCCTCCGTCCTCTTCGAACTCCAAGTCGATGTTTCCTGGGCCTTCTTGGTTTCGGGGACCTGTGAAGTAAGGAAAAGCCTGGCCAAAAGACAACGGCTGCATCCTGTTCAACGCCTTTTCGACCCCTCTATCTGTCGTAGTTGATACAACACAGTGGTTCCAGCTTGCCAATGTTCTTGAACAGCCTGTTTCCATGAACACCGCATGCTGCAAGGCAACAAACTCATGCACTAGACCTGCATGCCCTGACCCCAGAACAACGGGTATATTTGCATGGCGCCGAAAAAGTTTGCAACCAGCTTCCAGCAATGCATCATGCTCTTCTAGAAAGTTCTTTAGCTCGTACTCCTGAAGATCCTCCCGCGACAGTGCCTGCAAAGTCTCCCGTATAGCCACTTGAATCTTCGCCAATTCCAAAATATCCTCTGCTAGAACCATGGTATACTCGGAGTTCAGCAAGTTCTTTCCACCCTGCGGACTCGAATCTGCAAGCAAATAAACTGCAGGAGCATGGTTGTACCACATGATGTCGTCGTTGTTGAATTCTTGCAGAAAGTTTGCACGCAAAACAGTTCTCATGTGCAACATCAAGCTTAGGTCAACAACAAAACGCATGTTGTAAAGAACTGCCTTGGACGGAACGATTCCATTTCCAGCCTCATCAACATCAGCAATCATGCTTTGTAGATACTCCAAAGCCTCTGGCGGAAAAACTGCTCGCAAAGCACTGATCAAGACTTCCTTCGTCTTCGTGGCCGTCCTGATATCCCGGACTAATAGAACCAATCTTAAGAGCTGAATCATCTTGTAACGCCTCTGAAACCCGAATCTACCGAAACCTTCCATCCACGGAGAGGCCCCATGGTGGGCTTCCAGATTGTCTGCTTCATGCTCGAAAATCTGGACACATGTTTCCAACAGAAATCTCTGCTCATCCGGATCCTGATTGTTTGCACGACCATGTAACACGTGAACGGCCCATGCACGAATATGCCCTGCCCAAACTCGCAGGCTATGAGGATTTTGCAGGACCCCGGCGCGGTTGTCGTCTTGGTCGCCGCCAGCGTCTCCAACATGAAATCTGCAAGCTTCGCGCCATGCCGCTCTCAACTCTGCAGGACTTCCCCGCGGCAGATTTCTAAGCATACCGCCGATGCCAAAAAAACTCATCCGCCCCATCGGCAACAGATAAGCAACAGGCTGCCACACTTGCAAGGCAAAACATGACACATGTTCTTCCTCCACATCTTGCTCCCTGAGAAAAGCTTGCACTTGGGGGAGTCGCACAAGTTCGTCTTTGAGACCAGGATGAATGCTGGATATCATATGGGGTCTTTGGGATGACCAACTCACCTTCCTCCTGTTTGCATCCACGTCAAGAAGACTGCAGATTTGCTCCACTTTCAAGAATATACAAGGAAGTCTGTTAAAATACTCCCAAGCAAATCTCTCTTCCCAATCAAGAATAGCCAAAGGACCATATTCCAGATGCTGTATGGATACACGCGCAAGGCCAGTGACAACACCAACTGTGTGCTCTGCCCCCGTAAACACAGCTGTCGCGACTTCTGCTGAAGTTCCTTCCACCAAGGCATTCCAAATTCTTTCGATCTGCTTGCCGACCAACCCACTCTTTTGGAAATTTGGCGCCGCATTGTCCCTTTGAGCCTTCCGAAAAACTCTTCTGCACACTTGAGTCACCACAGATTCCTGTTTCAAGATGGTTCTTGCCTGCCGCTGTTCAGCCTCATAGGGCTCGCCGCCCTGCTGCTCCTCCGCTCCAGTTGCAGCATGCCGCACACGCTGCCGCTGAGAATTCCGCGCCACCAACCAGAAAACATTCGAGAGTAGCTCACTCCGACGTTCCGGCTGCTGTGGTTGAAACATGTCGATGGCTCGCAAGCTTCCTACTTCTGAAATTTCCCTCAGAACTGTCGTCGAAAAGATTGACAAACAATAGCAATGCTCATCCGAAAATGCACTTTGCACACGCGAACATGCTGCAAATCAACCAAGCCGCGCAAGAAACTGATTTGATTGGGAAACGGCGTTGATTCGATCCGGTTTCATTTCTCAAAAAGAAAGCAGGAAACACTTCAGTTACTTCAGTTTTACCGACGTATGCTAGTAGTGCAAAGAAAAAACCTTGTGTCACTGCAAAAGCACACCGATGTATTGCCAACAAAGCTACTGCATGTGGGGCGCCTGTGAAATCGGCTCAAACGCCCCTGATATAGCAAAGAAAACAATTATCATCATCTTTCCAAAACATCCGCCAGTTTCAGCAATAACTGCAGAGCATGTCTATCAGTATTACATTTCGCCAGCTTGAATCAGCTTGCCAATGCTCACAAACTACCAGCAAAGTCTGGGGGGTTCTCAGGCACCCCAAACCCAAAATAAAAGGACCCCAGTTGGAATAGCCATGCTGGTGTTGTACACGGATTGCCGGGTCTCCCGGCGGCATTGCAAAAACTAAGACGTCGAGAAACAGAAAAACTACACTGCCTCACTGCTCCTCTGGTGTCACTGCCGTCGTGCTTTGTCTTCAACGTAACGGTGTGCTTGCTTGTGCACTCGGGGGGATGGTTTCCCCTTCTCTCCATTCTGGGTGTGGTTCTCACTCTTGGTGTTCCTGCCATTTGCTCAGTCATCCGCGCGTTCTTGTCCCCCTCCCATTCAGCAGGTAGTTTTGCGTCTGCACTTGGTCGGTGCCGAGGAAGGGGTGCTCGTAAATCGTCGATGACTCCGAGTTCCACGGTCTTGTTGCATGCTGTCTTCCCTTACTGCTGGGCCACCCTTCGGGACAAGCCCTCAGGGGCCAGGTTCAAGGAAGGTCTTGCTGAGTCTTGCTCAGTAGGCGAGGGGCCCGTGCGATCCAAATGTTTCGGCATGTGACTCAAGCCACCCCCACCCGAGGGAGCGTCCACCATCCAGGGAGGCAGAGCTAACACTCTGCCCCCCCCGCAAGGCCGTCCGAGTGCCTCACAACGAGGCGGCAGATGACTTGAGCCAAAATGGCTAGGCGGCTAGGGTGTCTCTCTCAGTCTCTCTCTTTGCTTTGCTGTGGGGCTCTCTCTTTCGCTTGCTCTTCTTTCTGCCTCTGCCTCTGCCTCTCTTCCTCCCTCTCTCCCTCTCTCTATCTTGCTTGCTTGCAGGGGTATGGGCCTCCGGGGAGACCCTGGCCCGTAGGCCTACCCCCACAACAGTTCGCGGCGGTCTGTCTTCAAGGCCCCTTCCGGGGGTGAGCGATTCTCACGTTCCCCCAGATATGCCTGATACCTACCAGAACACCACACACCATAACCTAAGACCATGACCATGTAAACCCATCAGGCTGTACCTGGGTCATCCGTGTCGCTCCAGTTCGGCTACCGGGGATTTGTGGCTTCAGTGTTCACAACAGCCAAAAACTTGGTACACTTCTCGATTTGTGCGTGTCATCTTTGCGCAGGGGCCATGCTAATCTTCTCTGTATCGTTCCAATTTTATTCTCTCTCTCTCTCTCTCTCTCTCTCTCAGTCTCTCTGTCGCTGTTTCTCTATGCAATGTTATACTACCGCGCACTCAGTGAACGATAGATTGCTATCAGCTTAGCTGGAATAGCCTTGCCGGAGACGAGGAAGTCACCCTTTTGGCACTTCTTGAGGCTCGTAGCATCGCCGCCAAGTTCAACAAAAAGGTGAATCCACTGAAGGCCATCCTCACCATCCTAGCTGACTCGCAGCCAGGCAACCAACTTTGTTGATGCCAGCCCAGGTAAGGTCAGGTATCTCAGCTGGCGGCACGTTAAATGCAGCTTCGATGCCTAAACATCGGGTTCCCTCTTTGCTGCGCACCCATGGGAAGGCATCGTAGCACATGAAGCCAAATGCAACAATGGACCTCATGCATAGCTGAGTTTCTGCAATCTTCAGCAAAGAGATCCGACAGATTCTCTAGATATTCGGTTCCGCACAAAATGGCCTGCACCAAAAACCTTCACAAGCATCCATTTTCTGGCATCCACAGAATCGACGACTTGCTTCAGCCGAGCGCCAGGCTCCAACTTGAGGTTGTCGGTCATAACGAGTTTCATCTCGTTGACGATCTGCAGGTCACCGACGATTATATGACTAGCAGCTAGAGCTGGAGCCCTGATATGAAATCAACAAGCACTCGCACAGACGCGCTCGCGCACGCACTCACGACACACTTCCAACGATCGCCAGCATTTGCATCAGATCGCCGGAACGTCTTGACTCAACTGTTAGGCAGTCCTTCATCTGCTTCTCTTCGATTTTGTCCTGTCAACGATTGCTTGGTATAAGCGGGGCACTCTCGCTCGTCATCAGTGCTACAGTGGTATCACGCAGAAACTCCAGGAATCTGCAAGAAAAGGAACTGCGGACACTGCCTCTAGTTTTTTGCGTTTCTCAGTGTCTTCCTCTGGCGTCGCCTGCGATGCAAGCATTCCAAGCATCGTGTGTAACGGGTGAGAACACACTGGAGCACTGCATCTACCTTGAGCTCGGCCCGCAAGAGGATCACATCGCGCTCGGTGTTGACAATCGTGCCCGGGTTCAGAACCATGTCGAGCGTCCTTGGAACCAGTGAACTGTCAAAACCCATTGCACACTGCCTTTGGCATTGCAAGGGGGCGGGCAAGTTGCTGGCACCGTTCATCTTGCGCAGCCTATCCTCCAGATCCAGCACCTAGTCCCAACTTTTGCATACTGGACGCTGAGGGTGTGTCAGCCTCCACACGTCATCTCACGAATCTCAGTGCAACACCAAAGGGTCATCACCTGAGACTTCCTCGAAGAAGGGCTCCAGCTCCTTGCGAATTTCCGGCGCGGATCTCATCCATGCTGGAATGTCTGTACAGCTCACCAACGATGGGGTCTCATTGCACGGAGAGCTTGGGATGTGCACTGATGGCAGGGTTTCAAGATGCTGAAGGCCAAACCAGGGTAGCAGAGTTTTATGCCCCCGGCCCCTGCACCACGGCATCGGTCCGCAGCACTTGACGTATAAAGTGCTATCCAGAACTTCAAAGTGAGTGACCCCAATCCCTGATGATCGAAGTGAAGACAATGTCTTGGGAGACATATACATATACATATACATATACATATACATATGTATATACACATATATGTGTATACAACACGAACACTTTATCCTGCGCTGGAAACAAGAACACACACACACACGTAGACCTATAGGACATATGTAGGGATACAAAAGTGGTGCAAAGTTGGGTGTACACACGTAGCAGTGTATGTGTGTGTGCGCGCACGCACACGTTATGCGCACGCATGGACGCCCCCAGGTTCATGCGGGTCTACATCCAACATCATCTAACATGCAGGGGCCCTGAGCCCCAAACGCATTGCTGAGGTCAATGAATAACCCGCGGATGGGGGATCTGATCCTGGGACGATAAGATCACAACATGCCTGCATTGATTTTTCAATTTCTGTTGATGAACTCCAGTGTGGCATCGCACGTATCGTCTATCCGAGTGCGTCATGGGACACAGTCTGTCAACGGTTATTCTCCTGAAGCTCTCCTTGCAGCTTGACTGCCACTATTCGAACACGTTGGCATGCTGGCATCTGCTGGCATAGATGGCTGGGTTTCGATTCTCAAAAGATCCATCTGCCAAACTGCCTGGGTAGTTACAATTCAATTGGATCCGAAATTCCCAGTGAATGCAATCGTTAGAGGCTTGGACAATGAGGCTGTCGAGGTCTGCTTCAGCCACCAGAGCGCCCAGACTTTTTGTGACTCAAGGTGCAGAGGCAGAGGCTGGCAGCCTGCCAGGCAAACTCGTGCTATTCCACCTGCCTCTCACGAGAGACAAACTCAAGCCGTGGAAAGCAGCGCAGTCGTCAGCAGATCTATCATGTAGAGAAATCCTTCGGAAGGTAGCAGCCCAGCAGTGCAGCGTGCAGCGGTTTGCAACGATTTCGCTGAAGCAGATCTGACCGGTCTCAACCACCCTCCTGCTTTGAGGGAGAAGACTGAAGCTTTTGGTACCAAGTCACTGACTAAGTCCTCGTTCTTACTCCACCGCTGTCTTGTTCCCGCTAAGTCCTTGCTCCTTGAGGACAAACATCCCCAAAAAAAGCTGACGGCTGGCATTTAGGAGGACAGGACGCGCTGTCGCGAGCCATCGCGAAATGAGGTGAACTCTGTCGGCTCGTGCCGTGGTGGCCGCATGAGGCAGCTTAAGTCTTAAGTGCCGCGCCTCGAACAGCCCAGAACCCTTCAAGTCCCAAAACTGAGAAGCAGCCCCAACTTTGATTCACTCATTCAAACTTGAGCTCAAGTCAGACGAGCCAATTCCTCCACATCTGCAGCACCACCGCCGCTCTGCTGGGGTTGCGCCTCATTCGTGGCTGGTCTTCAAGTGGGACTCTTACACTCTCCAAATGGTGAGGCCTCCCCACCAGAACATGAGAACAAACGTCTTCGTTGGGGGCTTCGTGCTGGCGAATCGACAATTAACGATGACGGAAGTTGAGTGAGCCACAGCAAGCCTATACGGAAGCCCCAAAGCCGAATCACGGAACACCGTTAATAGGGTGGAAAGACGCCTTGAAGCAACACCCCATCCCTTCAGTATCATGGTCTAGCCGACAGATTTGATGTGGTTAAGGCCGCAAGTACTCGGATCTGCTTTCCGCCTTTCACCACTCTGGCAGATTCCCGCAAACGGTGCTTGCCCTCGCAAGCGCCGAACCGCGACAAGTGAAGCAATCGAGATCCCAGCCCTGGCTGCCACGGTTGCCGTTCGCGTTGCCACCCTCCGCCTGGATCGGGTCGAACCCCAGAGCTGAAACGCTGCTCCTACGACTCCTGTATTGATCTAGGATTCCAGATGATACTGTCGCTTCACAGAGTTGCTGGGGAAAGTAGCCATATCAAACTCGAAAGCATAACCAACATGTCGAAGCTTTGTGTTTTATGACCGAAGAGGCGGCATTTGGTTCCTCAGGTTGCGCTGGTGTTGCCTGCTGGAAACCGTTGCTATTGCTGCGAAAACTGGACGTTTGCTGGCACGGCTTGTTAGAGCTTTGACATAAGTTAGCATGCTGCGTCGGAGTTCCTGAGCAGCTGCTGCGGTGGGGGGGCAATAGCCCGCGTTGTCTTTCGTGGTGCAAAGTCCAGCCCCTCAGCACAAATGCGCCCTGCACCAACGCAGTCCAACACCGGCGCTGGCTGAAAACCACTGGAACAAGTACTGCCTATTTAGGTTATAGGAATCATCGTCGTGGATTGCTTCGCAGGTCAGCCAGCGGTTTGCGTCACTCGCATGTTCGCACATATACATACACACACACACACACATGACACGGTAACAGGAAGTTCTCACAGATTGACATTTTCACCGAAGCATCTAAGACTAAAGGCACGACCAATAGATTTTCCGTACCCTGTCTGGGTCCAAGGAAACTACTTCTCTCTCAGCTTCTCGCGTTCATCGCGACGAAAGCAGAAGGCACTCTGACAGAGCCATTCTCGAGCATTTCTTTGTAACTGTCCATGTGCGGATTCCTGGGAACCGTTAAATATCCTGGTCACGCACGCACTGTGCTGTTCCGTTCGTCTAAACACCACCAATCAAGCACAATCATGATGGAGCAAGGTCTGCGGCTCGATCATCTCTACTTCTCGTATGTGTCTGCTTCTTGTAGTTTGGAATCGAGAAAAGGTGAGGCTAGCACGGACCTCGTTGCTTCTCTGTTTGACGAGCAGAACATGAAGGGCTTCACAGGTGCATCGCCTCTTCGCCACCACACCTGCTGCCAGGACCGTCGCGGCTGCCGATAGTGCCGACGGCATGCCTTGATCCATCAAGTTTTGCCATGGCCCGCAAGCTGGCTGACGGCAGCAACCAAGAGCACATAGGCCCTAAGTTCTATGGTGTGAACTTTCAGTTCCATGCATGTCCGTAGTTGCAGATGCCCTTGCGCTTCTGCCTTTAGACATGTAGATCGACGAGGCCTGCCTCGCTCAGCCGTAACTTCCGGCGTTGCCCGCCCGGGTGTTGAGACGAGCCTCAAAGCGAGGTTTCGTGAAAAGCTCAACAAGTGCTCTGAGCCGCTTAGGAAGTTTACTGTGTTGAGACCATAAAGCTCGCCCGCTAACGGGCCTCGCCGGTAGTGTAGGCGGTGCTGCGCCAAGGGCAAATGCCTTGCAACTGACGGGCGCGGGACAGGACAGATGACTGCACTTGGCAGGACTCCAAGATGATCGATGTTGAGAGTTTCGGATTGGGGTCAGGGTCTTTCAACAGAAGCTCCAACCTCGCCAAGCAACGCCATTGCGACGATCAGGGCTCAAGACAGAGACTTCCACAGCAGTGTCAAGCAGTCGATGCACACGACTCGATTAAGGTTCAGCATTTGCTACAGCGCGCTTTCGCTCTGGATGACTTGATCTGGCCGACTCACATACAAATCCGGGCCTCCACAGAATTTGCGGACATCGTGGTGAGGTGTGAAGCCAGATAAAGCGAACTGCTGCTTCAATCGGTTGAACCCTGTGAATGCTAGAAAGACAGGCTGAAACCATGCACTCACTCTCGCCAACTTCTCAAAAGTCTTTCGGCAAGAGTGCATAAATGAAGGCTATGAGACATAGGACAGTCTCCTGGCAACATGATGGAAGACTTGCTAAAGCCCAGTTCAGTGATTCAGAGTACCAGCAAGACATCCAGGTTAGCACTCCATGGTCTCAACTGAAAAGTTGGGCTGCTCTCGTGGAACTTGGCAGAACGAAGCTCGTAGGGGCAGTACCACAGATTGAGCAGTGGGGAAGACGAACTCTTTTGAAAAAGGTTACCTGATACATTGTTCAAGCAGTGCGACCAACACGAGAAGTGGCGGAGATGCTGAAACGAAAAAGCCCAGTCGGTCAGCCCACATTTTTCTCAACACCACTGCCAACGACGAAAATCACGTGCATTCAACAATGCCGTGTGAAGACTAAGCATGCAAAGACATAAGAAGAAATGCACGAGAAGAGGATCGAGTTCATCAGCGGCACTTCGTGGCACTCTCGTGCACTTCCACTGGCTTCTACTGGAAGAGTCCAAGCTGGTGCTCTACGGCAGCAGCTTGGCATTCACCAGGGGCTCGGGCAGAAAACGGCGCTTCTGCGCCGGCTACGGAAGCTAAATGAATTTGTGACCGGCCAAACATCCGTAGGCCACGCTTGGGTTCATGAGAAGCTAGCAAAAGACAACTATGTAGTCTGCAATCCAACCAAAATGGATGGAACCAAACTGCAGTTGCCGCGAACTCTGGCTGTTCATATCTGAATCTCGGATGGCCGGGTGGTTGTGATAAAGTAAAACCACTGCAGCCCGGATCACGTGTTTGATTCACTTGCCTCGCCGTCAAGGTGCGGGTGATACCACGGATCGGGTCTGATACTGCTGCGCCCATGAACCCTCGGACTTTCGTGCTGCAGGCTCATCATCTGGCCTGCCCGAACCCGGCCGGATCTGCACCAAGGTATGCTTTGCCTCGGAGCGTTACATGCCTTGCACCCGACCCATTCCATCAACGTTGCATTGGGTCGTCCCGAACCTTCCCAGTTTCCAATTCCTCGGGGCATGGCGCTCCTCCATTAGCTTCTGGAAGGCGTGCTTGGCAGCCTGGGGAGACTGTGCATGTCGTGCACTTGTACCATGACCTCCATCCCAATCCTCCTCGCATTCCGTGTTTTTGTCCGGGTGAAGTTGCCTCAATTGCTTCACGCCGCGCGGTCTCATGTCGCAACACTTCAACCTGGCACCTCAACTTACAACATCTGTAGACATGAACTGGTCACTACCAGTTCTTGGGCACCAGACCGTTGCAAATCGCGGAAAATCAGTTTTCGCACCTCCAAGACCCACTGCAGAATCGTCCAAGCTCAAGGTGACATGCACAAAGTCCGGGCACCGATCTGCCTGAAGCGGCTCTTTGCAGGTGTGCTTCAGTTGCTCCCGCATTTCATTCACCAGCAGGTCCGCCTGAGCTTCCGGGTCCTGCCGGTGTCATCCTCAAACTGACATCGACTTGAAAGGAGGCAGCAATTTATCGCCTGATCCTGGCTCATGGTATTGACAGGCACTGGGACCTGCCGTCTGCCGAACACCTGCCAAGCGCCATTGCCCAAGCATTGCATGTTTGTGAGCTAGGTCCCCAGCCCATGCCGCGGCCGTAGCTGCACGTTGGTGAAACCTCTAGCCGGCAGACTCACGTGTGACGCGAACTGGGTGCTGCTTTCGAAACCCTATGTCACGCAGAAGTCGCGCGTGTAAGGCACATGCGTGGCAGGTGGCGACGGCGACGGGACTGGAGCTTCCATGCGAACGCGTGCCTGGCACCACGTCGCCACTGACCCCTAACTCTTGACTCTCTGCGGCGATATGATGGCAAGACCCCAGGTCACCTTCAAAGGCGTAGGCCGCACAAACCTTGCAAGCAAAGCGATTTTTCAAATACGAAGACCTGCCTCCGTGGCATGGAGGAGGCACAAGCCGAAGTGCTTCGCAAGATTTGAAAACAAGTGCGACGTGTGTGACTGTGTGCGCCATTCAGCTAAGCCGCTCCCCGTTGTCAGAGAGCCACGCACCTCGGCGAGAACTGCTTTTGCTATCAAACCTATCACCTCGGAGAGAGCTGTGAGGCTCGAGCTTTGCGCGGGCTCCGGCCTCCGAAGTCTCTCTATCCGTGGAGTCGGAGTCTCTACAAGAAGGGTTCATTACGATCGCATCATGCAATCATGTACCTAGTCTTCCACGTTGTCCCTTTGATGGCTGGCTCTTCTTGAGATCACAACCGTCTCACAAGCCTCCTTGTATCGCAACAGCCAGCTGTCTACGACTGTTCTATCGAGCAGGATATCCATGTCAACCCATGTCTTGCGAGCGCTCCTGGTCAAGCGCCCACAAATCTCAAATCTATATGCATGCTCGCTGAGTCGAAACAGTACACGGGTGCTGCTGGACACCTCACTGACATAAATTGTGCATTCCGAGAACTATACACAGAGCTTACGTCGTCACACGTCCTAAATGCATGTCCTTCATAGTAGGCGAAGTCTTCGAGGATCTAGGGGTAATGCAAGTGGCACCTGAGCCCTGCAGTGGCGCTGCGGGTGGCCGGCTCATCGCCTTTCGCCCCGATTGCTGCATTCGTTTGCACGTGCATCCCTGCTGACGGGACGGCGGTCTGCCTCTCGTGGATGTAGGCATCCATTGCTCGGAACTAACAGTCCAAGAACCTCGCTGCTTGCGCCACAAGCCGCTTGCCAAGACGCTTCTTGTCTGAGCCGCAAACGCTTCAAGCGCCCCGGCTTCACCCTGGCGGCACCGCCGGGCAGAGAGGTCGGCGGCGCCGGCAGCTCCCACTCCCAGTCCTGCAGGCAAGCTACCACCGGACTCCAGAGTTCACAGGGGGCACCCCTCCTTGACCAGCTCTGGTGGTCTCCACACCTGGGAGAATCAAGGCTTGAAATGCCCAACATTGGAATGCTAGAGACTAGAGGCCGCCTCGAAAAGGAGATTGGACTGGCAGGTGTTCGCCCAGACTTCCTGTCGAGACAATATAGCTTACTGCATTCGTTCCCCCAGATCCTGCAATGCCTTTTTCGAGCCCGGTCCGAAGGAAGACAGGCAAGCAGACACGGGCTATCCGACTCCATCCCACATTATCCAACAGGCCTTGGACCTGGGCTTGTTGGTGTCCGTTCGTCCGTGCGGGCAGCCAGTAAGGCACGGTTTTCCCAGTTTTCGCTAGAATGACGGAGAGAGCGAGGGACAGAGAGAGAGAGAGAGAAAGGGAGATACCTTGAAATCCGCTGGCTGGGTCGTCAGAAACGTCCATCTGAGGGAGCGGGGTGGGAGCACCAGCTTCTCCGAGAGACCAGCAAATAAGAGAGGGCAAATTGAGGGGCTGGATTTCACTGGCCACAACGGCAAAGAGGTGGGCTGCTCTTCTCTCCAACAGACGCTTGGAAGAAGCGGAAGACCTGCATTCACCGGATGCTGATCTGTCAAGCGTCAGCTGTCTGCGTGCTCGCATTATTGCTGTCAATGCAAAACCAGAAGACTGAAGACTGCAAAGCTTCGCTCCACCTTGTGGGGGACATCCTGATGCCGCCGGGACCTGCCCATGTCGCAAGAAGCTTGCAACAGCATCTACCCTCCCCATATCCTCACTATGATCTCCGTGCGCGCAGCCATCTGGAGGATACTCCTCCCTTCCCACTCGCTCCTGCTCACTGTTCCTTGTTCTCTCCCGCGGTCGCTATCCATCTTCACGCGTGAGGGAACCCGTAAGAGGACCTGTTTCATTGCTTGCAGCTCCGCACACCAACACTTGGGGAAGACTTGACAAACCTCCCTTTGCATTTACCTGCTAAAGTCTTCTGAGCTCCACTCGCCTCTTCTCTCACAACTGCAAACTACGAACAGCATCTCCCATACCACGACCTGCCCATCTTCTGGACCTCAGCGCTTGATCAGAGTGTTCGAATTTGAGTCTGCCGTGTCTGTCTCGGAGCAGCTTCCTACGGCCTAACACGATCCTTAGGTGTCCCAAGTGCTGTGCGTTCGATGGGCTGTTCAGAGCCTCGCGCTCCTGCAACAGCACACAGCGCAGCCAGGTGCAACACAAAGCCCGCCACGCGGTAGGGCCACGGTCGCGAGCCAGGCTCCTCGGCAACAAAGATGGCAGCAGCCGTGGCCTTCGATCCGCAGGAAATCTCGCCAAAAGTGCCGTCTGCCCGCTTGCGGAAGCTCTCAGCCGTCTACATCTCGCAGATCTTCCATCCGAATCTGCAGCGGGACTTATGTCGTCTTACCGTTTTACGGTACTGTGCTTCGGTGCAGGAGGCCCGGACATGCAACAGAGAGAAAGAGCGCAAACGACAAAGACGGAAAGCGACAGAGAGAGAGAGAGAGAGAGAGACAGAGAGAGAGAGAGAAAGAGAAAGAGAAAGAGAAAGAGAAAGGGAAAGGGAGCCATCTGGGATTGGTGCAGCCGCAGGCTTCCTCGGCACTTCTGGACCTCGGCTAACATGACTTTTCTACAGGCTGAGGCGATCTCGTGGTAGGATGACATGCCCAACTTATACCTGGGCTTCTGGCTGGTGAATGGCCGCGGCTTCTGCCTCTGCAAATAAACCTGGCCAAGCTTCGGTCGCAGCCACGCGCATCTGGAACTGCAACCCGCAGCAAAGCTTGAAATGCACGATGCACTGGCTCTTTTTCTCCGTTTCCCCGCAAAGCCACGTGCGAGAAGGGCAGGAGGAGCACAAAGAGACATCACGCAAATGGCTGGACTCGAGCATTAGCAGAACTGATTCGACTCAGTCTGCAAATGTCCAGCTGCATCAAACTTCACGGCATTTCGAGGAGGGCCATCATGTTGACATGCGACACCTTGCCGAGGCTTGGCCCTCCGACACATGCCCATGAATGGCTTTCTTGGCGTGATGATGTAAAGGCTGTTCGCGAGCTTCGCTCCACCTATGAGAGCCCTCAATCCATGTAGCATCCATAAATCCACAACTCCTTCCTGTCCCAGGTCATGAACGCAGATTCCTGTCCCCACCAGAGGCTCAGCCCATGCACGGGCTGCGGAGAGCGGGGCAGCAAGGGGCCGTGACGCAGCCACGGCCTTCGCTGTAGCACCTCTTCAAACTCGGCTCGGCTGCGGCCTCTGAGAAGCCAATTTTGCTTTTCAGTATCCCAGTGGATTTGTCGCATGAGCTCCGAACAAGGACCTCGGCCGTGCAGGAAGGGCACAACACAGGTGAATTTGTCTGGACCTGCACCGTTCAGCCTCAGCACATGCACTCGGAAACGAAATCCTCCCCGAGCCTTTAGAATCCGAACTTTTGGCCAATCCAAGGGTCGCATCTGCAGCTCCCAGCTCATGAAGGAGTCCTGCACCCCTTCACGTGAAACACAACAACCCTTGCAAAGCAGCGCATAACGCATGATAGCATTGATTCATGGGCCGCTGCTGGCAGTTTTTGCTTGAGCATACCAACGTGTGGGTAAAGCGGCGGGTCCTCCCGCTCATGCAGCGCCTTCAGTGCCTTCAGGAACTCAGCGGCACCAGGTGAATCATTGCGCTGCCTCATCTCGAAAACCGCTCTCGTGGTTGCTCCTTGCACCGGCCGGGCGAAGTGACAGATGCAGCGCAAAAAAACAGATCAGGGAAGCCAAGGTTGAACACCAATACCAAGGCCGTCTAAGTGTCGGAGATACAGGTCGCTCACCAAGCGTCCGAGGAGAGGAAGTGCAGCTGGAAGGTCCAGAATCCAAAGATTATATGATGAATCACCTTGTTCCTGACTGATAGCATCACAGCATCTGCAGGTCCTACATCCATACACCCAAACCGGCTATAAGCTTTGTGGGCAGACTTCAGGCTCATGCAGCTTGGCCGCAAATTGGATCTGATCAGTGAAAGGTAGCTCGCCTTCCTTGAACCAATCACGTGATGGCCAAAGACTGTACACATCGCCAGCCGATCTGGGCTTCTTCATTGGCAGCTGGCTCATCGACTGGCCGTACCTGCTCCAAAGACCGACCAGCTCGCCTCAGCGGCTCAGCTCCGTGCACTGAAAGTGACGCACTCAGCTGTTTCTCAGCAGCAATCGCTGTGGCAAACCAGGTACAGCCAGGGCACTCTCAAGATGCGTCGCATCGAAAGCTCGAAATCGCCCATCCCAGGAGCGCCACTCATCTTCCACGGCAACTTGTGCCGCCTTGCTGCACCGTAGCACGCGGCCGAGAGAGGCCGCATCCAACAGGCATACAACCTCCAGGCGCCCGCCGAAGACATCGAGCAAGCCACTGGCGCGGTCCACTGCACGAGCTTGCATGTCGAACGCCGCCGCCCCATGCCGCCCCTCCCTCAGCCTATGCTCCCGAGAAAAGCTGCCTGCAACCAATTTGGACACATGCACGGGCTCAGCTTAACGGCGGCTGCCTTTGTCACGATATCCCAACGGATGACCTGTAAACAGCCAATGTCATAAATGGCACTACGGCCGAAGTTGGGTTTGCCAGTAAAGCTTGCTCCTTTCGCTTCACCTGCAGCTATGCTTTGGGGTTTCGTGGCTCCCTTCGTTTTTCGCTGGGACATCACCTGCATTCCAAACCTGTCAACATGTCGGAGAAGCCGTGCATAGGTCCTCCACGGTGAAGCGGCCCTGGCCAAGGCCACCATGTCATGGTCACTACCATGTATATTATTCCATATAGTATCCGACAATATCTAATATCATATGAAATGAGAACTGGGTCACGAACCTCGGGAAGCCGAGATGACAAGATGTCCGTAGCAGGGCGTGCCCACTCGAACTCGTCGTTGTCCATGATCTGCAAAGGATCGCACGAGGCTTCGGGGTCGGCCAAGAAAGGAAACTAGCGCTGCAGCCTCGGACTCCAAGACCGTGCGGACCTGCAGGGGAACGAGGTTGTACGACACGGCCGGCCCCACGTCTTGCAGTCTGTGCACTGGTAACTGTAAGGAACAAAACAGCTGGCGACTCTTCATTCTTCTTGGCTATCAACGCGAGGCAGAATCAAAGGCAGTCAACTCTCCCTTGTTCACGCGATGCCTGTCGGCTGCGTGGGAGCCCTTCATCCTGCGAGGCGAGGCAAAAGCGAATCCGTTTTTGAAAAGAGCCCTGCAACTGGCGTCTTTCAGAGTCCTCGGAGGTTTTGGAGCACGCGCTCGTGGGCCGGCCGCTTAAGCCTCCCGTTGCCCTGCACGAAGCGAGGTGTCTCCGATGTTCCCAGAACCGACCGAGGCTTCGGTTCCCTTTTTTTATGCTCAGCTGTCGGCTGTTCGGGTGTCTATAGCCCCCATGCGAAGAAGGGCCAGGGCCGCCAAGGACAGGTCAACTCTCTCGCAGTTGACCCTTCTCAAGCTGTCTGAAGCAACCGCCAGCTTTGCCGGGGCCATGCAAATCTGTACCTCTGCGTCTGCAAATTGTTGGAGTGCAGAGCTCGGTCCAGGGCTACGTTGACTACATGCTCTCGCCCGTCTCCATATGGCACACGACGACACTGTTGGGCACTGGAACCTCTAACCCGTGGTGGCTCGATTTCATACGTTCCAGAAGTATGGCGAACTGCACACGGGACTTGGAATCTACATGAATCTACTGAGTGCCGGCCACGCGAGACTCTCCTACTTATCAGGCCATGTCAGTGTGGCGCATGCCTTGGCGCCTTCCCAGCATGCAAGCATAGGACTTGATGATTGATGGGATTTACCCTGGGTATGCTCCTGACTCCACGCAAAACGAGGAAGCAGCTTCCTGCTTGCCCCACGTTAGAAACTGGTGCGGAACAGGTTTGAGCGCTCGCATCCTTCCGCTCCAGGCCCGAAGTTGGGTTCTTCGGAAGCCACGCGTCCCAACGCACCCGAGGCTCCGAGGGCCGCGGCTGCGCCGCTGCGCCGCTGCGCCAGGGCCCGAGAGGCTCAAAAGACCTCCAAGTCTGCGTGCGGCCTTCCGGCTTCGGCCTTCCTTGGAGCTCGGGCTGAGATGCTCGAGCCCAGGACGGAAACCGAGTAGACTCGACGACTGCAGCTGAGGCTCCACTGCTGGAAGGTGGAGGTGAGCGCTTTCTGATATTTGGCATGCCAAAGGTCAACGTCTTCTTGGGTTGGCGCTGGGATCTGCGGGCACCTTTTTGAAGAGTGGCAGCACTTGTCAGGGGCACATCACTAGCACACTCTTCTTGCCCAGATGCTGGATCGCTTCACCGACAACCGTCAGCATTTTCGCCTCCCAGCCGCAGCTTGCTACCCTCTCGCGCACACACACACACTCACTCACTCACTCACTCACGTTTTCCTTATCAATCTTTCGGGCCTGCCGTCTCGGCAAGCAGGGAGTCATAAGGTCTCCAAAGAAAGCAACCTGGAATCAGTGCTTCAGGAACAGAGTCGACCAGCCCGAACAGCTCTACTAAGTTGGCTCTACGCAGGCACGACGTCACCGCTCCGTAAACCTCCATCAGACTCTCGCATGTTTAGGCAAGTGGCTGCGGGAACTTTGAACTGATTCAACCTTGGCACCCGGCAATGACTCGCGCGATGGTTACCAATGCTCCTAAGTGATGCTAAAACACCTGAGATGGCCAAGTAGCCACAGCCGAAAGCTCATCAGCCCCGGCAGAAACGAATAGGTCTCGTCCTCTCCGAAGGAATAAACAGGATGAATCCTGTAGCCGTGCCTTAGCAGTGTAGAAACAGAACTCGCGTCCGGGCTTTGGCCCCGGGCCCCACCCCGGGGCTCGGCTCCGGGCTGCAAGCAATACTTGATGATGCCTTTCCTGGACTTCAAGACCACCCGATCCTTGCCAGTTTCACAGACCTTGCTGCAGAGAGTCAAGCCACAGCTCTTCGGCTTCCCTGCTGCCCCCTAGGAGCTGCCTAGCTCCCTCCTAGCCCAATCCTTCAGCTCTGGAGACCTCACCAACTCAAGACAACCCCGGGAGCATTGTCATCCATGCCGCAAAGGCGCTGTGGCTTCTTCAAACCCACCCAAGGCCAAAGCTACCTTGGGCTCAACGCAGGTCAGCAGCGTTTGCCGAAACTCAAAGCACTGCAGGGCATGCCTTGCTCAGGAGTAGTCCCCCTCTTTGAAGTGCCGGCCAGGCCGCATTCGCCCCTTGAGACATCAGCTTTTGCACTGTGGACTTGTCGGCGGTTGACATCTTGCAGCGGCAAGGGCGGAGATTGTCTAAGGGTGGAGATTTGTTTTTTTCCTTTTTTTGTTGTGTTTTTTCCTTTTTTTTTGTTTTTTGGTGGTGGTCTGCTTGGAGCCTGTCACAGCAGGTGACGAATTGCAGGGCGACAGGCAGGAAGAGGGTGCTATATATTGTATTATATTATATTAAATTACGTTATATTATATTATACTAAATGATATGATATTATATTATATTATAATATATTATTTTATATTATGTTATGTTATATTTGTTGTTTGATATTATGTTTTTTATAGTATATGCTATCATAGTATATCATATTAATTTATATTACGTTACATATTGCTATGTTATACTATATTATACTATTATCTTATATTATATTATACTATAGTATGTTATTTTATGTTATGTTATATTTGTTGTTTGATATTATATTATTTTATAGTATATGATATCATAGTATATCATATTAATATATTACGTTACAACTTGCTATGTTGTACTATGTTATACTATATTATACTATATTATCTTTTTTTTTGCATTATATATTGCTATATTATATTAGATTACTTTATATTGTAGATATATTACATTTCATGATATATATTATATGTTTATACTTTTATATAATATATTATATACTTTTTTTTTTTTTTTTATAACAGTTACGCTATATACTGCTATGTTATACTAATATAATAAAAAAATATGTGTATAATATAGTATAGGAGAACATTTTATAATATATATTATATTATCTCATATAATACAATATAACATAATAAAACCTAATATAATATAAAATAGTATACAAAAATCTTATATTGTATCATATTACGTTGTATTATATCATATGATGTAAAATGATGTGGTATCATATAACATGATGTAACATATTACAGTATAAAATGATATAGTACAATATAGGTGAATATAACATAATATAAGAAGCTATAAAAAGTGATATAGCAATATATAACGTAGCATTATATAATGTAAGACAGTATAATATAGTATAACATATAGCAGTATATAGCGCAACATGTTATAAACATAAAAACTGTAAAAGAAAATCTTTATAATGTAATGTAACAGAATATATTATATAAAAGTATAAACATATAATATAATATCATGAAATGTAATATAATATAATACAATACAAAGTCATCTAATATAATATAGCAATATATAACGCAAAAAAAAGATAATATTGTATAATATAGTATAATATAGTATAATATAGTACAACATAGCAAGATGTAACGTAATATATATTAATAAGATATATCTCTTATAGTTTAGGGCTTTCGGGAAACTACTAGTGTGGCTTTAGGGGAACTTTCTAGGACTGAGCACAGCACACAAGCAAAAATCGCCTGCGCCGAACAACCCGGATTTTTCGCACCAAGAGCATATCGGCATCATACAGCATTCTCACCTAGGAGACCACACCAAGCATCAAGAGCATTGAATTCCTCCATCCCCGCCCCTCCCGCGGCCCCCGCCCTACCCCAAAGCTAGACTTGTAACATCGTGGGAGCATGGAGACATCAAGCTGAAAGTTGGAAGAGTCCAAAAACGAGCTTGAAAGTTGCCGTTCGGTGGTTTCCTGAGGGCCGGCAACTGACCTGTGTATATATATAGACATATATGCATGCGATATCATATACATCACGTAATATAATATGATATAATATAATATAATATTAAAATATAATAGAATATCATATAATATAATATAATATAATATCAAAACAAACCATATCAGATCACATAATATAATATAATATTATATTATATTATATTATATTATATTATATTATATTATAATAGAAAATCATATCATATAATATAATATACTATAATATCATATCATATAATATAATTTAACGACAGCAACTCTACTGAAAGAAAGCAGCGCACTTTTCTGAAGGTGGGGTGCACAAGCAGTCTGCTGTCTGGTGCAGACTGTTGCAGTCTGAGAACCGTCTGGCTCCGGCAAAGCAAAAGTCTGCGACCGACTGTTCCGGGAGTGCTGCGGGACACATTTGCCCCGTACGACTGAAAATTTTAAGCACCCGGTGCGGTCTGGTTCGTGGCCCACTGGCCGGCTATGAGACCATCTGCAACTGACTGACATGTACAGCATACCTTCACGACACTGAAATCCACACTCTGTGTGGTCTGTAAGGCTGCAAAGACTGTACGGCCGCACAACAAGCGGTCAGCCTGTTTCCGGCTGATGTGGACTATTCCACTTTTCACGTTAGTCAAAAACTGGTAGTCTGCGTCTCCGGCTACCAAAGCAAGGCTGTCTGCAAGAGCTGGGTATCCTCGTCAGAGGACCCCTCGCTGGCCGCCTCACTTTCGGAGCTGCTACTGTCTGACTGCTCCAGGACTGGAGTCTTCGGCTGCTCGGCGACTGGTGTCGAGGAGGACGAGGCTGCTGCCGCGGTCTGACTTGTCTGCCAACGGCCTGACCTCGTGCTGTCTGGCTGGAACTTGCCGTCGCGCACGGACTCCAGGACTGTTTCGAGGGTTCGGAGAGGGCCGGCCAAGGCGTCCCTGCCGTAGCTGAGAGCGCTGCTGCTTTTTCCCTTGCTGTGGTAGCCTAAAAGAAGCTGGTCTGAGTCTGAGATTGCGTATTTCATACACCAACTGAGACACGTAGCCTTAAGGCCCTGACTGGAAAGTGACAAAAGTCTTTCCTGGCTGCAACCCGGCTGCTTTGACAAGAGGCAACGTAGCCACCGGGAAGCTGTGGCAGAGTCCATGTTCGTCTGTAGGAGACTGCCATCTGCTGCCAGGTCTGGTAGAAGTGGGTTGTCTGCTAGGCTGCCTTCAACACAAAGCCCTAAGTGTTGACGAAGGCTGAGCCATTCTGTGGCCCACGCTTCTTGGCAGATCCCGACTGCAGGGGCTGCAATCGGCAAGAACATGTTCCTCCTGCGGCTGGATTTTGACTGCTTCGGGTTCAAAACCTGACACTCTATGTAGACTGGCTCACCAAACTCATCGGTGTCTACTGTGAGGCTGCGGCTGCGCTTCACGTCACTGTGACGCGCCCTGGCATAGATCATGAACAGGAAGGAGCTGGCTAAGTAGCTCTCGTACTGTGTCTCGTCTGACTGTGCCAGTGTCTGTAACCAACGAACTTCGTCTGTTGTCAGGGCTGGAGCCTGTTTAGGCGGCTTCTGTTGGCGCATGCACTGGTGTGCTATGCCCTGCACCCTAGGGCTCACCAGCACCTTAGCCGCAGTCTGAAGCCCTAGTACCCCGTCTGCGAAGTTGAGTGCCTGACAAAGTTGGTCAGGAGCACTGGTGTCTGGCTGCTTCTGACTGAGGTACTGACAGTACAAGAACACCACTGCTTCACTCAGTGGTTCGTGAGGGAAGCACTTGACCTTCCAGGCTGCGAAACGCTGTAGACTGCTCACTCTGTTGAGCAACGTGTTGGTGCTCTTCTTGGAGAACCTGAGGTCGAAGTTTCCCAACTCGGTAGGGGGACTGGGTCTGGCTGCTCCAACAGCTGCTCCTGCAGGTGGTCAAGGAAAGTGGACTCCTGCAAGACAAAACTGAAGACAGGGTCTTCCCAGGGCAGCTGCAAGTCTCTTCTGCTGCGCTTGACTTCTCCGAACCCTAGACCACACTCCCAGGAGGGGTCAACAACTCTTCTCATAGGGCGTGGAGGGCGGGCTGTAAAATTTTGTCCACTTTGAGCCAAAATGGACGTTGGTCGTCGTTAAAGCATGATGCAAGCATGCAGGGCTTAACGACAGCAACTCTACTGAAAGAAAGCAGCGCACTTTTCTGAAGGTGGGGTGCACAAGCAGTCTGCTGTCTGGTGCAGACTGTTGCAGTCTGAGAACCGTCTGGCTCCGGCAAAGCAAAAGTCTGCGACCGACTGTTCCGGGAGTGCTGCGGGACACATTTGCCCCATCTTCCTTTCAATCTGCCGACCGCAGAAACTGCCTGGGGACTACGCCTCTTGCCAGACAGCGCAACCACCCCACCTTCACTTCTCTGTTTGAGGCACCTTGTAGAAACTGTGCAGCCTCGCCCCGACTGGGCGCGTCTGCTGGGTTGCCAGCGCTGGGAACTCTAGCAAACCAAGACTGTAGCATGAATTCCTCTTCGCAACAAAGGACAGTCTGAAGAAGTCTGTAATTCGACTCGGGAAAACCCCTGGCACTGATAAGACAGTGCCTGACTGCATCGTTGTCTATCCACCACGTCACTGGCCACTCTGCCATGGCTGAGCTCCACAGTGTTGCTGCCACACAGACTGCTAGCATCTCGCACTGCAGTATAGGGTGACTGGTCCCTTCCTGCAGCCATGTCTCAACTATGTCCTGCGGCACTGTCGCCTGAAACCATTCTGTGACCTGACCTGTCGGGCTGCAGAGGACTCCGCCTATCTGCCCCAGCTTTGCCTCAAAGCTACCGTCTGTGAAGACGTTGTATGCCTTGGTCGGAGGCCTCTTGAAGGCTCTAGGTTTGGCAGTGGGAACGTGTTGCTGCACCCAGCAGAGTGCGTCTCTGAGCTGAGGTGAAAGCTGCAACTGTCTGTTCCTGCCTGGTCTGGTTCCATGTTCCAGGATGGTGCGAAAGGCCCATCTGCCTTTCCTGCCGAATATCTGGGCATCAAGCCACCTGAGTCTGCCTGCAAACGCCAAGCACTCCGCAGGGGAGAAAGTCCCTGAGGCCAGAGCTCTCTGACAGGTGCCTGCAACTTCCTGCTTCCTGCCCTCCGTGTTACTCACTCTTACAAAGCCTGAGGGTGTTCGCGGCAACGTGTAGGCAATGCCTAGGCTCACGAAGCTTTCTGCAAACGACTGTGCTTTACTGCCGTCGAGGGCTGCGCGCCAGCCCAAAAGCTTGAGAAGTAGCAGGAAACAAGTCTCAACACTCTGGCTGTCTTCTGAGACTGTGACCGACGTGTAGTCGTCGAAAAAGACGGTGAGAGGCAGAAGCAACAGACTGACTGCAATCTG